CTCTCACCTCTGACACGCCACCCCCTCTTGCCTTAGCAAGCCCAGTCCAGCCACGCCGTGTAGGGCGCGGCTCCACCTCTTTTGCACCCCAGGCCTGCACGGTTCATTCTTACACTCCAGCTGCCGCAGAGCCCACCACCTCCTGCGACCTCCCGGGGCGCCCCCCGACCCCGGCGCCCCAACCTGCGCACACCTATGGGAAGTTGCCTGAAGTTACTTGTGTGTCCCCCCTCCCCCACTACCCGCGGGGGACTTCTATCAGGTTATCAGGAAGTAAGAAGAGGCGACGAGGAAGAAGTTCTCCCCCGCGCTGCGATGACCTATGACCCAGAGAGGAAGGTGGCCCAAAGCCCCTGCAAGCGCCCCCACGTGGCCTCTAGGGCCCCTTTCAACCCTAGTCCACCTCCAGGGTTCCTGCAAAGCTCAAGGGTCGAGCTCAACGCTGCCCGGAGGCTCGCTCCGAGGCCCAAGAATAACCCGGGGCCAAGACCCGTCCTGACCCGGCAGCCGCACCACTGCGACCCCGCCTGCAACCCGCCCCCCGCCCGCGCTCGCACATGGCCCCCGCCGCGCCCGCCCACCCCCGCGGCCGCGCTCCCCTCCGCCCCCGGACCTGGGGCTCCGACAGGGCTGGCGGGCAGGCATGGGGGCCGAGAGGCCCGGAACGCCGGGATGAGCAGGGGCCGCCTCCTCCGGCCGCGCCGCCCCGCCGCGCTACGTCCCCCTCACTCGGCGGTGCCGCTGGCTGCTTGTAGGACACAAAAGGACATCGCGGCCGCTTCCTACTCCGCTTCCTCCAGCTGACAGCGGAGGCGGGGTCGGCCCTGCGCATGCAAATCAGGGGGCCGGGCCAGGTGCTTTATGCTAATCACCCGAGGGGAGCGGGCGGCGCCTGCGTACCCCGAGGCCAGTGGGCGGGCTTTAGCGACGCGTACGCGTGCGTGGCCGCCTCGGGGGCGGGGCCGGAGCCTAGGCAGGAGCAAGGACTTAAAGCCGGAGCGGGGAGGAGCCGGAGCGCTTTTGCGTCCTGAAGGTAGGCGGTACTCCACCTTACAGTGGGCGTAGCCACTCTTTGGACTCTGTACAGGCAGTGAACGTGAATGTAAATGAGGGGGCGGGGATGCAACCTGCATATGCATGAGGATGAGGGGTGGGGCCTAACGGGGGGCCCTGCTCCCCCCCCCCATAATGTTGATGGGACACTTGACACGAACTTGGTAGATCAGTACACCAGTGGACCCTCAGGTAGGAGGAGCAGACCTAAATAAAATATGCAAGTATCCCTGGTTTGTGAGCTCCAGGTAGGTAGTACTGGTGAAAGGCGGGCGGAGAAAACTCAAGGTCACTGCGGTGACCGAATGAAGGTCACGGGAAAAGGCGGGGCCACGTGCGTCCGCCACACGCAAGCTGCCACGCACTGACTGGGGAACCTTGCATAGACTGTTTAATTTCTCTAGAGCTCAAATTCCCTGCAGACGGGGTCGAGCTTGGGTCCGAGGAACGGGACAGCGCACGGAGCTGACATCTGGTCGGCCACTTGAGCTAGAGGTTCACACAGGCATACAGTACAGCCTCTTGTTCCGGCGCTTCTTGAGTCCCTCGATGTATTCCTGCAGCTCTTTAGTCAAGTAGTGACCCCTGCCAATCGTGCTCTTGTAGGCTAGGAAGAAGGCAGAGCTGAGGGGAGGGCCATGAGCAACGGCAAAGCTTTCCCCGTAGGCACCACCAGTGCGATTCAAGGAACCGCAGGTGACTTGAGGTGGCAATTAATGCTGGATTTGGATCTGTGTTAGTTTGGGAGGCTTTGGATCTCCAAGTACAAAGTGTTATGGTGAAGAAGATGCTGCAAGGCTAAATGGAGGCAGTGAGAGCCAGTAGCTGCACAGCCTCCTCCAGGGCCACCCACTCTAACTAATGATCTGGCCCCTTTTTCCCTCTGAATGCTTATCTATCATGAACAGAAGGTCACCCAGATAATCCAAATTCTCCTGATGTGTCACAGCTCCCTCCCCTTGGAATAAAGGCTGTCTGTCGTTCCACTGGACAAATGGAGGAAACCATTGAGTCTACCTGTGCCTAGTCTCTCGACTTTTAATTTGGGGGGATCCCTTGGAATATTTGTGAGTGCTAAGGGGATCTGACAAGACATACACATCCTGAAACTCCACTCCTGAAGCCCCAAGCCCTGCCAAAGCCACCAGGATGTTTTGTGGAAGCTGGGGTGGGGGTGCTCACTATTGAGGGCTTTGCTGAGAATATCCAGAACTTCTTTCTCCATGAGTTCCATCAGGGGCAGGGGCAGCTGGAAAAGCAACGAGAGGCTCAAACAACCAAGGAACCCCAGGTCTGTGTGGATCTGAAATGCTCCACCACGTGACCTCCCCAAGCCTGCCTGCCCACCCCACTTTCCTGAAACCTGCCCCACCCTGCTACTACTGCAAGCCTCAACCTGTCCTCCTCCTACCCACTACCCACCCCCAGCAGTCTCCCCAGGCCCCTCCAACCCTGTTCTGCTGCTCTGTCCAGTAGGCTTGATGCGGCATTTGCTTTGACTGGCTGGCTGATGACTCTGAAGTACACTTTACTGGAGAAATGAAAAGAAAAAACCAGTCATCTTCAGGCTCCGGGATCTGCCCTGGAGCAGAGTTGCAGGCACATGGAGGGAGTGGGGTTCAGAGATTAGTTCCACATACTACCTTCATTGAAGACTGTATGGGATATAGGTTACAGCCCTAGGCTTTAGAGTCCTACCCGACTGGGGTCCAGAACTACCTGAAGACTCTTTTTGATTCATCACCTGTAAATGGAGTCATAGGGATTGCCTTTACGAGAATAGTGCATGTTGTGTGTGTTGTTGGGAACAGAACCCAGGACCTTGTATAAGCTATGAAAGAACTCTACCAGTAAGCTGCATTCCCCGGCCCAGAATGGCCTCTTATGGCAGTTGTGATGTGTAAAGTTCACAATACCAGAAGTTCTGTGCCTGACATATAACAATTCTCAGTATATGTTAGTTGCTGTGTTGCTATCAAACATGTTTGTTTAGAAAGTATCTCCCTATATGAACCTAGCTGTCTGGAACTCAATATCTAGAGCAGACTGGTTTGGAACTCACAGATATCCACACAGATCTGCCTCCTGAATATTGGGATCAAGGGTGTGCGCTACCACACTTGGATTTGTTATCAGTGCTAATTCCCTGAAGAAGTTGGAAATGAAAGGGCCAGAGGATGGACACACATGAGTCTCAAAGAGTACTTGCATATTGTGGGTATCCTTAATTGTTTTTTAACTAAGTCAGACATGGTAGTGTGTAATCCCAACACTCAGGAAGATACCGGGGATCCAAGGTCATCTTGGACTACTTAATGAAACTCTCATTCCAAACAGAAATACAGAATAAAAATAAAGTAACCATTGACTAAAAAGAGAGGCTTCAAAACAGTGAGATCCCAGCCAGGGAATAAAATTTATCCTCTCAGCTGGCACAGTGCTGTGAAGTTAGATCCACAGGTGAGGGAGGGCTCGGAATGAATTCAGCGGTAGAGAACTTTCCTAGCATGCATGATGCCCTTGGTTTGACCCCCAGCACACCACATTACACGCGAGAAACCCACCAGGTCTTTACTGTCCTGACTGCCTATGCCTTCTTCTGCGTTTCCCGGTTCTGAGTAGTAGGACGCCTTCCCGGAAGGGGGCGCTCAAAGAATGTCTGAGTTAAAACGTGAAAGATTCACGCCCACACTCCCCTCGCAGGAAATCCTAGAAACTTGGGATCCTATGGGCTTACCCCCATTTCCCAGGAAGGAAAATTGAGGCCCTGGCTAGCCCACCCCTATGCACACCCTTTGCGCCTTGGCGAGGCCACACTACTGACCAAGGGAGGTCACAGATTCGTCGTGCTCCTCCTCTACCGCGAGATCGCGCTCCAAGGATCTGCCACGGCGCAGCTCTAGCTCCAAACGCGCTTGCTGCTGGATCTCTTCTGGCTTGAGATGGAGGTTTTCCAAAATAGAAATGGTCTGGCTGTACCTGCGAGACTTCCCTACAGTTCTACCCTCCTCGTCGAAGTCCTCGCAGACGTCGGCCACCGACACGTTCCCTGTGGACATCGTGGCCGTGGTCCATAGATCACGAACATCTCCGTGAAGGCTCGATCTGCGGTGATGGTGTACGTGTTTGGGCACAGCCTGTGGGTCACAGACACAAAAAGGAAGCCAAGGGGCTCAGGGAACTGGAAAGGGCAGGGAGAATGGACTGGAGAGGGTACTCCGTGGGTACTTAGCAGCGACCAGGCAGAATGATTGGTTACTCTAGAAGCCTGAATGGATCAAAAAATGAGTCTAGGCTCGGGGGACTCAGGCTGACTTCTTACTTTGGACAGGTTTTCCTCCATCGTTCCTCACCAACGGACCAGTCGCCAAGGACTCAGTCGAGACGGGGGTCACGCTCCAAGAAGTGGGAGGGGGACAGAGTCTCTTCCCGGATGCGATAATGGTCTCGCGGGAGGAGACTTCAAACTGCAGATGTCATCAAGATTCTAAATTGCTCCCACCCCTAATATCGATGCCAAGGCTGGTGGTGCTCAGCCAGCTGTGAGTTGGGGTCTCCTCCAGGCATGAACAAAAGGGCCACAACTTGACTGGTGTGGTCGCCCAGCGGGCTGGATATACCCCCACGGTGGCGCGGGAAAAGCACTCGGGCGCCCACTCGGGTCCCAGGAGCAGACTTTTTGTTTATTGGTGCAAATTTTGAGGCACAGTCGTGAGGTGTGAGGGACAAGCCAGACCAGGACAGCAAGACAGAAAGTCTTGAATGGTGGGATTTGGAAATGGTTAGATGCGAGGAACCAGCAGGGGAGGAGCAGTAGCATTTGGCAACTCTTGAACTCCTCCCAAGGTTGCAATCGCGTGGAACAAAAGAGGGCTCTTTGGTCAAATAAGCCAAACATGCCTGGGCATCATCAGGAACGAAGCCCCTTACAGGGGACCCCGGACCAGGGACCCTGCCCCTACACCGGCACGGCCTTATCTCGGAGACGCCCAGGACCCCGGGGTCTCGAGGGTTTCCGGGCGGGATTGGGACGGCGACGACCCCGAGGCGCGCGAGGCAGGGCGCAGCCACGTTCACTCTGCGTGTCTGAGGACTCGTCGATGAAGGCCAGATTCTCACTGGGGTAATCCAGAGCCGAAGCTGTGGGCGGAGAAGGTGTCTCGGCCTTCTTTGAAGGCACAGGGGATCCAGGCCTGCAGGCTGGCTCAGCCGCACCAGGCGGTGCCGGCAGGGAGGAGGGCAGGAGCGGTTGCTCCTTCTCTGGCGGCGGGCCGCTAGGTCCGGCTCGCTGGGTCACTCGTGCTGTCACTGTTCCGGTCCAGCTAGCAGCCTGCGCCGTGAGGCCACCCACCTGCACAGAGAGGAAGCGGTGTCTGCCGATTGCAGCTCCGGGAACTGCCCCTTTACCAGTCACATCCTCCTGGCCCTCGAGCCTCAGACTCACCCTACACTGTCCCTTCCCGCACTGGCACAAAGCGCCGCTTCCTTTCTAGAAAGCCCCAGTTTTGTTTCAACCTTCGCTGCCTCTCTGTAGTCGGCTAGAAAAATGCAGGTTTCAGATAAATCACTAAGTTTAGTGTGAGCATGTCTCAGAACATTTGGGGCATGAGCCGGGCGGTGGTGGCGCACATCTTTAATCCCAGCACTCGGGAGGCAGAGGCAAGCGGATCTTTGTAAGTTCAAGGCCAGCCTGATCTACAAGAGCTAGTTCCAGGGCAGACTCCAAAGCTACTGAGAAACCCTGTCTCGAAAAACTAAAAATAATAATAATAATAATAATAATAATAATAATAATAATAATAATAAATATTTGGGGCATATTCTAAAATCTCATTTGTTCATCTGAAATTCTGAAAACTGGCCTTTCTAGTTTTGTTATTTTTGAAATAGAGTCCCATTCTATAGTCCAGGCAGGTCTGAACTCGAAGTAATCCTCCTGACTCTGCTCTGCTTACCACATCTGGGATTTTCAGACATGTACTGCCTCGCTTCTCTGCGCTTTTATTTACTAACCCTTGCGACCCTATCTATCCATGGAGGCCAGGGTGGTCGAGTCCCTGATAAACCTGAATTGGCCCCATTTTTTCCAGCAGTGCATGCTCTGAGTCTCAGTTTCGGAGGAACTCACATTTTGAAGGGGAGTCTAGATGGTCAGCCTGCCGTTAAGGGTACTATACACAAGTGACATGCATGGCGCATGCGCAGCAGAGAACTGACGCTGCGCTGGAAGGGTACCTCTGCCCGTGTGCGGCGGGACACGGCTCGCAACCAGTTGCCAATAGTGGTGAGCACCGAGGCGAAGTAGGCTAGGCCGAACAAGATCCAGAACCACACCAGAGGTTGGTAGGCTGAGTTCTGTCCGGAGCCAGTGCCTAGAGGTTTCACAGGAAGAGAAAAATAAGTTGATGGGAGGCAAACGTGTGAGCCTCTGATTCACTGCTGGCTTCTGCACCTTGTTGAAAAAAAGGGGATGTGCTAGAGTGTCTAGATGTATGCAAGATAAGTGTGCAGGAGTTGGAATTGTGTATAGTAAGAGCATGCAAGATGGGTGAACTTAATATATGTATGAGCATGCATGGGACTCGGGCATACAAGATGTAAGTGATAGAAGCACCGTGGTGTGGGAGTGTGGGAGCTGGGGCAGAAACCCACAGTAGTAGTGCATAGGCAAAGTGCAGGAATAAAGTAGTTAAGGAAAGTGCTGGGCAAAGTTAGCCTCACCGGGCACATAATCGCCAAAGCCCACGGTGGTAAGTGTCACTATGACAAAGTAGATGGCTTCCAGCTTGCTCCAGCTCTCCATATAGGAGAACACGAAGGTAGGAGTTAGGACAAAGAGCAGGCAGCCAATCAGCAGAAAGAGCACCGCAGACAGTATTCTCACCAGTCCGGGTGGTACGTGCCACTTCTGCAGGGAGGGACGATAGATAGGGCCATGGAGATATTAATTCCATTCTCCCCACCCTACCCTACCTCCATCCTGGCTTACTGAGTTTCTCTGGGATTGCACACTCACATGCCAGGGACCTAGGGAAAGTACCCTACGAGGGACACAGTGCAGCTCACCAAGAAGATTGCTTCGATGTGACCAATGCCCCTGCGCAGAGAGGAGCCCAGCCGGTCCCCGACCCCTGCCAGCAGCATTCCGAACAGCGGGATCCCCACCAGTGCATAGAAGATACAAAAGAGACGCCCGGCTTCTGTCTGTAAAGCTGTATTGCCATAGCCTGAATAGAGCGGGCAGTGCAGGAAATCTAAGTGGTATCTGGTACCCACGGCCTCTCCCTGCACCTTCCCCCATAGGGAAACTCCTTGCCCCTTGCCTCCCTCCACATGCTGCATCTCCTCCCCCACCGATGGTAGTGATGATGGTCCCCGAGAAAAAGAAGGCGCTGCCCAGGTTCCAAGCTGATGAGTGGTTGCTGCTATTGGTCCAACTGGTGTCTGGGTTTGCACCCCCTCCCAAGGCATCAGCCACGAGCTGCAGGACAAGGCGCACAAGGAGGAACCTCAGTCCTTCCCTCCAGTTGGACCAACCCCTAACCCTCCCCCTTCCTTACATAGCTTACTGGCTGTGTATCTCTTGCTTTCCTTCTGCCTCTTTGGTTTTAGGTTTTTGGGGGTTTTTTATTTGTTTAATTTTTTTGCCTTTTTTTTTTTTAAGACAGGGTTTCTCATTGTAGCCTTGGCTGTCCTGACACTCACTCTGTAGACCAGGCTGGCCTCGAACTCACAGAGATCCACCTGCCTCTGCCTCCAGATTAAAGGCATGCGCCGTCACCACCAGGCTGGTCTTAATTTTTGACAATGTCTCTCTCACTCTCTCTACCTAGCTGTCTTTTTGTGCTTGGCTGGTTTGGTTTTTTTGAGACAGCATTTCATTATGTATCCCAAGCTGCCCTGAAATGTGTTGTGTAGTCCAGACTAGAACTATTGATCCCTCCTGCCTCAGACTTCCAAGCGCTAGAATTACAAGCATAAACCCACCATAACTAACTTTGAATGACACATTCCTAACTTTAGAGTCAGGAACACAGATACCGGGAGCAGATGCCAGTGTCCCAATTTTGGCAACCTTTGGCAAGTTAACTCCTGGTTCCTCAATTTCCTCCTCTATCACATGGGGGGGGGGGTTGTCATAGCACCAATATCATAGACATGGCATGAAGAATCAACCCTGGGCATTTGTTGGGAAATTTCCCACATGGTCATTATATACTGTGAGTTCCTGCTTTCTGAAGACTTCACCACGCCCACTGCTCCTATGGAGAGTGAGTCTGAGTGTCTGGCCTTTAAACAATGTGCTGAAAGGTGAGGCCTTCCCTCCAGAAAAGTACACATATCATCAAATTCTGTGGTCAATATTAAGCTGTTATGTGTGTGATCGTGTGTACACGCCACCTCCTAACACTCGTGCAAACCCAGTATTTCGTATTGAGTGCTCACTGAGCGTGACTGGATGAGTGAAGGCCGGGGCTGTGCTTTCCTTGCCTATCTGCAGACTCCCCTGGGGAGAGTCTAAGTCTGGAAAGAGCTTGCCCTGGGTGCTGGGATGCCAAAGCACCCGAAAGATGACATGAAGAACGGTCCTTCCCCAAACTAAGCAAGGACAGACTCCACAGGGAAGTTTAGAGTCTCTCTCTCTCATCTCCCTGATGACAGTCACCAGTAGCAAGAAGACCTACGAGTTCATGCTCCCTGTGAAGTAACTGCTGCAAACCCTCGAGGCTCCAGTTTGTCCAGAGGAGAGTCTTAGACCTTAGCTCAGCATTTATTTATGTATTTATTTATTCATTTATTATTATGAAAAAAAAGTCTCATAGAGCCTAGGCTAGCCTTAAACTCAGTATATCTTCAAGGATGGCCTTGATCTCTGACCCTCTTGCCTCTACTAAGTTCTGCTGACAGACAGGTGTGAACTACCCTGCCCAGTTTCCACAGTGCTAGAGAAGCAACCCAAGCCTGCAGCATGCTAGACAAGTACCAATTGAGCCACAGCCCCTCCCCCTCTCTCTTATAGGAGGTTTGTTTGCTTTTGTTTTGATTTGTTTTGTTTTGTCTTACTTACTAGCCCAAACTAACCTGGAACTTACAGCAGTCCTCCTGTCTCAGCCTAAGAGCTGAGATTACAGGTGTGAGCTACAAGCATTTTTCCAAACTGGTCTCTACCTTTCCCCAGATTTCTCTCTTGAGATTATCATTTTGCACCCCAAAATACAGCAACCTTCTTCCCAGATTCTCTTAAGTAATTTTATTTTCTGTAATAATGGTCTTTGAATAAAGAGGTGAAATGTCTAGTTAAAAGTGATTTAATTTTTTTAGGTTTATTTTATATTATTGCATGTATATATAGATGTGTATCATGTGCATGCCTGGTGTCCACAGAGGCCAGAAAAGGGTGCCAGCTTTTCTGGATCTAGAATTATAGATGGCTATGAGCCACTGTGTGGGTGCTGGGAACCAAACCCAGGTCCTCTATAAGAACAGCAAGTACTCCAAACTTCTGAGCCATCTCACAAGCCCCAATGATTTAATTTTTATTTTGCAACATTCCCACACATCCCCAAAATCCTTCATCCAGTGTGTTCTAATTTTTGTTCAAATGACCAGGATCTGCTATCTCCAGTTTCTGCTACACACTCGGAACCTGCCAGCTTTCAGTCTGTTGCCATGCCGTAATCTGCTTGGGAGTTGTTTGTCCCCACACTCTAAATTCTGTCCCTCTCACTTGGTACTTTCCAACTGCCAGCTCTCCCCAAAGTCTCTGCATCTCCCTTCTTTCCCAGCACACAACCCAAGACCCAGCCAGTGGGTGCTTAATGAAGGAAGAAAATCTCCCTTCCAAGGCTCCCTAAAGTGATCTGTCTGTCCCTGGATTTGTGCCTTAGATGTAACACAATCCATCTGCTTCACCCCAATATTTGTATCTCTACACCCCCCCCCAGCACACATGGGCATATAATTGCTACAGGACTCACTCATTCTGTGAGAGGCTCTTGGTGTGGAAGAGACGCAAAACAGCAGTCACCCAGCCTTCTAGACTCCCTGTCTCTCTCTTTTTTCTTTCTCATCCCAGAATAAAGCAATTCCATTGTGAAGATAAATAGGTCAGACTCCCTCCCTCCCTCTGCCCTGTGGTCTGGCCAGGCGCACTTTCCACCCAGGCATTTCTGAGCAAAGCTTGTCCTGATTTCTGGAAGAGGGAGAGACCATCGCTCTACCCAAATCTTTGCCCTGGATCCTGCCACCTTAGGAATCAGTTGGAACTCTGAGGCTTCCATGCAGACCCTCCCCAAGGAACAGTCGGGGAATGAGGGATATTGCCAAGTGAGATATAATTAACTTATTAAGGTTAAATTGGAGCTTTCCAGACTGACCTGGAAGTCAAAGGGATCAACACAGGAGCGCATTACCTGGCCCCATGGAGGCTGAAGCCCAGAGCTTTCCTTAGTGGCTGGATGGAAACTGATCAAAAATAGCAGCATGGGAAAGCCTGACATCCCACCCTCCCCACGTGCTTGGGTGGGGAAGAAGGGCTCCTGAACTGGCACCCACAGTGGTAGGAACAGAAGCCCCTCTAAAATCATCTCTACTGTGTATGTGCAAACTTGGAGAAACAGGGGAAGGTGTTCACCATATTCTTGGGTTTCTCTAAAACATCTGAACTTAAAAAATGCATAGGAACTGGTGTGGGAGGAGCAGCCAACATTAGCAAGAAAAACTCTTCAGGGAGCCAGCTGTGGTTATTCCGGCTTGTAATCCCTGCCCTCTGGAGGCTGAGGCACGTCAAGACAGTTCAGAGTTCAAGGTCAGTTTTTGTAACTCAGTGAGTGCCGGGCCAGTCAGGGCTACAGAGCAAGCTCCTGTCTCAAAAGATCATTACCAGGGATATATTTAAATTAGGCTGTTGAGCTGAAAGTCACATGTGACTGAATATCTAGGATTTGGTCTGGTGACCTAATGATGTTAGACCTGCACAAAGGTAACGTCCCATTGCTCCAGCCACTCATTCATTTCATTCATTCATTTGCTCATTTCCCTTCCTTCTGTCACCATCACACAGGGAAGGAAACATTCCAAGAGCGTAGCCTTGTGCCAGCAAAGACAGGCAGCAACAACATGGCCAGCATACTGAAAACAAACACCTGGATCCCAGGTCCTGCCCAGCACCCCCAGGTGCACCCAGTCCTCCTATGTCTGGAAGCAGCACCCTGAGCAGGACCCCACTCTGCCAACCCACCTGGATGAATTTCCTCAGGTTCTCCTGGTTCACACATGGATGGTCCTTGAGAAACTTGTCCCGGCCATCCTCCAGCTCCTTCTGAACCTGCTGCTCATGAGGCCGCTCCAGAGCCTGGAACACTAGAGCCCCGGATACCAAGTAAAGCAGCACCACTGCCAACAGGGCCAGAAGTGTGGTGCTTCGCATGGCCCTTCCAGAGGCAGGTCCAGCTCCGCTTCCTGCCTGGGGAGGAGGAGCAGGGAGCTCCTGGGGAGCAGTAGTCACTGCAGGCCAAACCAAGGATTTTGGGGTTAAGAAGAGATTTGGCACCCGCATATTTCTGTTCTATCTTAGACTCCTCAAGGTTTTGGAGCTCCTAGCTTTATTGTCTGTCCATGGATGTAACTCCTCCCCACCCCCACAGCATCCTCTGGCTAGACACCTAATTCCAGGTACCTAAGCCCCAACCTCCAGCCTCCCTCTTCCCCCCACCCCCGCCTAACCATGAGGAGAGTGGGAGGAAGGCGGAGACAATAAGCAGCCTCAGAAGAGACAGGGTATGTGAGAAATGTTGGGAGTTGTGAGGCACAGGGAGCTCCGCCTTGGAGAAGACCAAGGGAAGACCAGGGCGTTCCAAGGCAAAGCAGGAGGAGAGGCTGGAGCCCACGAATAGGAGACAGGAATAGCAGGTCCATACTTGGCTCTCCCAGTGCGGCTGTGGCAGCCTCCTCAGATGCATCTGTCCCTTCCTGCCTTTCCCGAGTCCAGGCTAGCAGGGATCAGCAGGGTCCCCACCCGTCCGCGGGCCTTTCGAGGAACCCAGAGGCAGATCTGGTTTCAGGGTAGATGCAAGGCCCAGAGCCAAGGAAAGCAAGGGTGGGCACCAGGTTCCCGGAAGAAGCGGAAGAAGCGAGGCACAGGGTAGAAAAGGCAGTATAGATACAGCAGCCCACGGGACAGCTGTCACCTAGGGGGCAGTGGGAGATGGCAGGCGCGCACGCACACATATATACACTGTCCGCCACACGTGTCACAAAAATCCACGATTCCACACTCCACCCCTCGTCTCTAGCCGCAAACTGCCGGAGCTGCAGGCATAGCACTGCACCATACTCCAGCAGACCCCGGCACAACTGACCACCATGGGCGTGTCCGCCGTGTCGAACCACCCTAAATATCCGCGTGCGCTAACACACACACACACACACACACACACACACACACACACACACACACACACACCAGATCCGCGTGATACCACACGCCAGCCACTTGCTCCCACCACCTCCCCCGCGTCCTTACGCCGACGCCTCCGAGCGTGACCCGCGACGGGACGCACGGTCACACCACTCGAAGAGTGCATCCGCGCGCGGGAGGTGGGTGTCCCGCCCTGCCAGTCGCCTCCCAGGTCCCGGCCCGATATTCAGCCCACGTTCCCGCGCCTGCTCCGCACTTACTGTCTGCACCCTCCGCGGCTGCGGCTTTGGCTGCGACCAAGTCTCCCGCGCCGACTCACACGGATGGATACGGGCTGGGCCACGGAGGTGGCGGCACCAGGGGGACCGAGCGCTCGGCCTTCAGGCTGGGACCCTCCCCCCTTTCCCACTGTCAAAAGCCCCCTCCGTGGGCACTTAACCCCACCACAGCTACGTCTCCCTGCCGTGCCGCACCCTCGCCACCGGCTCTCACTGCCACCCGCCTTGCACCCAGCCCTTTACCTGCACCCTCTGGGCTGCCCAATCCTGGCTTGTCCTGGCCAGTGAGTGGCAGAAGAACCGAAGGGGGGTCGACGTGGAGAACAATCTTCCAGACTGGGATCGGAACCCCAGCGCTGCCCTAACCTGCACATCGGTTGGTCCAGGACTCAGAACAGCCGCCACACTCATCTCCTGGAATCTTCTATTACTAGACTGGGAAGAGCCCTCTTTCCTCCGCCCTTGGGGAATAGTCTGGTCCTTGGGCTCAGCACTTAGGAGACAGAGGCCCTCAGGGGAGAAAGTGGTATGTGGGGATAGAGGGCGGGGAGATCTTTCTAAGGCCACCTGGATTTAACCAGCTGTATGGGTTGGGTCCTGGTTCTGGGAAGTCATTGATGGAGCACCTCCTGCTCTGGCTGCACCCCCGCTCTGATACTCCAGGCCCCGGCGGGGGGGGGGGGGCAGCTGCTGCTTGCCAATCTCAGCAGGCAGAGTAGAGCGCTAGCCTTTTCTGAACAGCTAAGCCTGGGTCCCATCCTATCTCTGTCCTTCCCTGTTTATGTTCATGTTCATTTCTTTACTCATCTTCACAAAGCCCCTCCTGCAGCATTCCGAGATCCTATGGTTCAGCACTTTTTGTTGTTATTTTGCTTTTTGGAGTCGGGGTTCCTCTGTGTCCTGGAACTTGCTTTGTAGACTAGGGTGGCCTCAAACTCAGAGATCCACCTGTCTCAGCCTTCTAAGTGCTTCTAAGATTCAAGGTGTGCACCACCATGCCAGGTTTAGTGGTGATGGTCAGTGCTTTTAAACCTAGAGTTTAAAGTGACCACCCAGATGGCAGGGGGCCAGGGCGGGTTACTAAACTCTCTAGAGTCTTCCTGCTCCCACTTAGAGTAAGATAATTTTCTCTGGGTGCTGATTGAGGAGCATTTAAGAGGTCAGTGTTTCTAATACTCAAAGGCTGGCACACACAATTAAGTGCCCTATAAATGTTAGCAATTTTGCTTCCAACCAAAGTGATTGTCCAGCTTACTGCTGAAGTCCTGAGCCTCTGCTGGTTCTCTCTGGAGACCTTGCAGACCTGGCTCCAGGATGCTCCTAAAGAAAGGGCTTCAAGGCAAACTCACTGCTAGCCTGAGATCCCAGAAGAGCTGGAATCACCAGGTTTATGGGCAGGTGCCACAGGCTCTGATAAGCAACCTTGGGCCACAGGGCAGATCTGCCAAGATGTCCTGCCAGGAGCACAGGGCACTGACTAAACTGTTGGGGACGTAGGAGAGCACCAGGGGATGACTGCAAGTGACCAGGTAATCAGCAGAACCCACAGCCAGGTAAGGAGATTAAGTGAGGAGATGAAGGCTGTTGTGTGATGTTTTACTCTTTGAGGGGCCCGCCACCCAGCTCCCAAATAAATCGCACATGGAAGCTTATTCCTAGTTATGAATGCACAGCCTTAGCTTGACTTGTTTCTCATCAGCTTTTCTTTTGTTTCTTTTATTTATCCATCCCCCCCCCCCTCTCGGTTTGCTGAGACAGAGTTTTTCTGTGTGTAGCTTTGGAGCCCATCCTAGCATTCACTCTGTAGACCAGACAGACCTTGAACTCACAGAGATCCACCTGCCTCTGCTTCCCGAGTGCTGGGATTAAAGGCGTGTGACTTTGTTTCCGCTGCATTTGTTTTAACTGTGTGAAGCTGTGATTCTCTGCCTGTCAAAAACTTCTGATGATCCTAATAAAGAGCTGAATGGCCAATAGTGGTGACAGAAACTAGGCCTCAGGCCAGTGAGATTGCTCAGTGTTGCATAAGGCTGCATACCACCAAGCCTGAAATTTCCAGTTTGATTCCTGGTACCTCATGGGTTTCCTTAACTCCATACCTATATGTGTGTCGATGTATGCACATCCCCCCCAACAATTAAAATAAATGAATATTAAAGGAACTAGGCCTTCACAAAACTTAATCCATTAGAAAACAAGATGCCCAACAGACTGTAGAAACTGTGTGGTTAAGAGCACTTACTGCTGCTCCTCCCAAAGCCCTAAATTCAGTTTCCAGCATAGAAACAGCCTCTAACTAGCTCCAGGGGATCTGATACCCTCTTCTGGCTTCCTTGTGCACCACATTCAGGTACAGATACACCTATACATAAATAAAAATAAATCTTAGGGGGGAAAAAGATGCCAAACAGGCTAGGCAGACATGATGGTACATGCCTGTAACACCAGTAGTTGCAGGTAAAGGTAGGAATGTCAGGAGTTCGTCGTTCTTCAGCTACATTACAAGGTCTCTGTCTCAAAAAGCCGAAACTGGGCCAGTGAGATGTCTCAACAGGTAAAGGTCCTTGCCACCACGCCTGATGACATAAATTTTGTCCCCTGATCCATATGGTGAAAGGAGTGAACCAACTAGTAAGTTGTCATCTGACCTCCACATATGTGCTGTGACAAGGGCTTGTCCACACATACAGACATACAAATACATGTCATTTTACAAAACAAATTAGCAGGGCATGATGGCGCACTCCTTTAATCCTAACACTAGGGAGGCAGAGGTAGGTGGATCTCTGTGAGTTCCAGGCCAGCCTGGTCTACAGACCAAGTTCCAGGACAGACGGGTAGGACTGTTAAACAGAGGTATATGTGTGTTTTTTCTCAAAAAACAAAACAAAACAAAGTTATCAGGCTAGTGAGCTGACTTAGTGAGTGAAGGCACTTGCTGCCAAGCCTTACAACCTGAGCTTGCTCTCCAGGTCCCACACTGTAGGAGAGAATTACCTCTATAGGAACCCACACACATACACAATAAATAAAATGCATTTTTTTTTCAGTTTCTCTGTGTAACAGTCCAGGAACTCACTCTGTAGATCAGGCTGACCTTGAACTCACAGAGATCCATCTGCTTCAGCCTCCTGAATGCTGGGATTAAAGGTGTGTGCCACTACTGCTCTGTTGTAATAAAAAAAATTGGGGGGGGGTTGGTTTTTCGAGGCAGGGTTTCTCTGTGTAACAGTCCTAGATGTCCTGGAACTAGCTCTCATAGACCAGGCTGCCAGGCTGGCCTCGAACTCACAGAGATCCACCTGCCTCTGCCTCCCGAGTGCTGGGATTAAAGGTGTGTGCCACCACCACCTGGCAATAAAATCTTTTTTTTAAAGGATGCCTAAAAGTCACCAATTACAGTACTGTGTGGTTTGGGAGAGCAGTTATGGCTCTCTGCACAGCCAAAGGAAAGTTTCATGGAGATTCGATTCCCTGCCCCCACCTAGGAGATTCAACCCATGGCCTTGGACATTCTTGGAAAGCACTCTACAACTGAGCCTCATTTCCAGCCTGTGGAGGCGATTTTTCAATCAGGAAGGCTTACTGAAGCCCAAGAATTTCAGGCCAGGCTGGGCAACACAGAGGAGGCTACTCTGAACCAGGAAAGCTTTGACAGCAGACGCCCAGTGCAGTCCCTCTGCTGCTTCAAGCCTGCTAGCCCTGATGAAGGTGGGTGCTACCTGCTCAGCTTAGCAACCCATGTCAAGGACCAGGGTTTGATCAGCCTGATGCTAAACAGGCCAAGGCAGGAAGGAACAGAACTCAGACAGATGACAGATGAAGGGACAGGGCACAGACTCTGTTTATTGAGTGGTAGGCACAGGAGAGGTAGCTGGCTCCAGTGTGGAAGCAGAGGTGGCAGGTCATGCCAGGGCACTGTGGGCATCCGGCAGCCTGGAGGCCTTGTCCCTATCTTAGGGGGATGGCACAAGCTCACTACAATAGGAGCAGCAAGGAGCTGGCCAGAGGAGAGAAGCAGCCACAGTCCCCTGGCATCCTGGGCAAGAAGCGGCAGATGCACTTGGCACAGGGGCCAGGGATAAGGGAAGCTGGGACCTGGGTGCTCTAAGGGGAGTAGAAGGAGATCATGTCTGTGGTGTGGAATAGAGGCTGTGGTGGTGGCTGCCAGGTCCTGGCACCTGGGAGAAGAGCAGAGGAGTGGTCCTTGTCTGGCTGGCCCCGCCCCAGCCTGGCTCGCGCCCGATGGCACCATACCAGCTGCCAGAGCCCAGGCTGCCGGACATGCTGCAGGCAGAAAAGCAAGGTAAGTACCAGGAGTCCCAGGTAGTGCCCAGGTTCACATAGGATGGGGGAGCAGAGAGGCTGAAAACAGCCCTAGGTCAGAGGGCAAACTGCTTCTTGGGGCAGTAGCAGGTGTACAAAGTAGCACTGGGAACCCGGGGAGGCTCCGCTCAGAACAAGTGGAGGAAACAAAAGCCCAGTTCGTGGTCCCCATTGCCTCGTGGAGCCAGGCAGGACCCCAAGACCCCTCAAGCAGGGTTGAGGCTCCTACCTGGTGCTCTCACTCCGGCTGTGCTCCCAGGAGCAGCCCTCATCCTCACAGTGCCCAGCCCGGTCAAAGAAGTAGGAACGGGAGCCAAAAACCTGCCCGTTGAGGATTCGACTGGTGCTCTGTAGGTGTGTGGGGAAAGTTGCAACTATGGAGATATATATTTATATATATATATATATATATAGGCCCCATAACTATCCCAGGACCCCAGGCTAGAATTCCCAGGGTCCAGCCCTCTCCACTAAACCTAGAGGTGGTTGAGGGGAGCCCTACCAGGTCCTGCGGGGGCCGGTGTACCCGGAAGAAGCCCACCAGCAGTGTGGTGGGCAGCAGTTCCCACACGAACAGGATGAGGCCAAACACCAGGTAGCCTTTGTTCCCTAGGTCATTCACCAGGTCTGCCTGGGGAAGAGCAGAGGCTGAAATAGTCTGCCACCACACAGACCATGTTGGGAGGATCCCCGCCATAGGAGGCTAGATACTATAGAAGGCACAAATTTGACCAATGCCTACCTGGTCAGATACGTTGTACCAGTCGTAATCGAAGGCATCTAGCCGGCTCCGAGGGGCCAAGGCCAGAGCTGCCAGGTTGTAACAGGCCCGGCTGGCATACAGCAGAACCATGGCACCCCCTATGGCAGCTGCCTGGCACACACTGGTCCCCTAGTAGAGACGACAATAGAGGATCTTAAGGTAGAGGAGGCTTCTATCTTCCTTTACATCCTAAAGACTTCTGTCCAAGGATCCCCCGATACTACATCGGGGTTGGTGGCCCTACCTTAGCCTCTAAGTAGATGCTAGTGGAAGGGGCTCGCCGGGCGACGAGGCAGAGGCAGGCAGCAAGCGAGAGGGCACAGATGACGAAGAGGGAGTCGCTCACCAGGACACGGACCAGCAGAAGGACCCAGGGCTGTGCCCGGTGCTGGCGGGACAGCACTGCACACAATACATTCACCAGCAGAAAGAGCAGCGAAGCGCCCACGAAGGCCCCTCGGACAGCCAGCCTGCAGCCCACAGCAGAGTCAGCGCCAGACCATGGGTCTCCCTGACCCACACCAACCACCCCGACTCCTCAGCAGATCCCAGGCTCAGCCAGAACTCAGATGGTCCAATCTAAACTCTGAGGAAACTCAAAGGGGTGAGGCTATGAAAGCTATGGCATCGTAGGGAGAGCACCAAAATCTGGGGGGGGTGGGGGGTGGATTTCAACATCTGGAACTAAGCCCTGACCTTGAACACGTCGTTTTAACTAACTGGGCCTCAGTTTCTTCATCTTGCAAATGAAAGAATAATATCTCAGGTGAGATGTGAAAAGATGCTTGTGAAATATCTTTATAAACTGGAAGTCACTGTGCAAAGGACAGGGGCAGTGCAGACAAGGTCACTAGAAACGAAGCACTACTTTATATATATATTCCATGAACTGGAGCATCTATCCTTCTCCACCGTGGATGACGCTGGTGCTTTCTCCCCGACACTGTCACAGCTGTCTGCACCAGGTGCTTTAGTTTTTCCAAGCTCTAACACAAATGTTCTTGGGGTTCTTCTTGTCTCAACCCTGCTGGGTGGGCTCCTTCCTGTCCCTGACCCATTAACATCTCCAGTACTTACAAGCCTCGGCTCATCTCTGGCCGACGCTTCGCCTTGGCCTTGAACACCACCTGGGAGCAGAGATCCCCATCACTCCTTTGGACCCTTGGGCTTGCCCTCCTACTCCCACCACACCAGTTCCCGTGGTTACCTGGGCAAAGTAGAGGTTCATAAGCGTCAGTGTGAAGAACTGCAGGCAGACAGGGCAGCAATAGAGAAGCCAAAAAGGCAAGGGCCCCAGGCGGTTGGCCCTGGGAGTATCTCGGAAGTAGAAGGAGAAGAGTGTGGTGCGCAAGGCTGCCCAGAGCAGACAGAGTGCCAGGAACACCGTCTGATAGCTGAGGCGCTTGTGCCCATACAGAAGCACCAGCCAGAGCTGGGCATAGACAGAGAAGAAGAGCAGAGCGTATAGGGCAGTGTAGGCAGCGGTCAGCCCAAGGGTCACTGTAGGCGGCAGTGCAGGTACCAGCCCGGCTGCAGGCACCAGGCCAGACAGGTTGCTCTCCATGTCAAGGAGGGAGGCCTGAAATCAGGAGACAGAGATGGAGGGCTGGCCAGAAGCCAGGGAAATAAATACGGAGGGGTGGGAACTGCAGGAGGCGGTGAGAGCTGGGGACTCTGGAGGAAAGAAGTTGGGGTTGCCAGGCCTTTCCTCAACAGAGACGTGGGGGATGGGCCCTGGACTCCTCACTCTGGAGTGTGTAAGGGTACTCTTTCCTACCCAAGGCAAATGGAGTGGGGGTTGGGGCTGTCCCTCCCTGGGTCAGCCCCGGAGCCAAGATGGGAGGATGCAGTGGTACAGAAAGTCCCTGGCCTTGGTCGCTCGTGTCCGGCTGGCAGGAGGGGGAGAGCCGGCCGATGCCCCTCAGTTTAGGACAGCGGCCGCTGCGGGGGCGCCCAACGCCCCGCTCTCCCCCTCCCCACGCTTGGTGGCTCTTTCCCCTCCAATAATCCGGATTGGGGGGCTTCTTCCTCTGTCCTCAAGATTCCAGGCGTTGTTCCCCCACCGCGTCCACCCTTAGCCCCGGTGAATAAGAGGAAGTCGATGTCAGGTCCTCAGGCCGCTGCTGGGGAAGCGGGATCCGGTCGCCGGGACGCGGGGCTCCAGCTCCCCGGCTCCCGCTGCTCCGCCCCACTCCTGCGCCTGCGCGGGCCTCCGTCCGCCACGCAAATTGCGCAGCGGCCGATGGGAACTCTGAGACCGTGCACCGCGCCCGGCGTGAAGCTCTTTAAGAATCGGCGCAAGGTGCGCTGCTGACGGGCGTCCGGGGTTACGGATGGCGGCGGGAGGCCGAGAGGCGGGAGACTGGGCCGCACACAGCAAGCACCCGAGTTACCCGTGCCCTGAATCGTTAGCTCTTAATGTTTGGGGGACCACTAATCCCCACGGCTAGATCCCCAAGCCCACATCGGGATCGGCGTGCCTTTATGGGGGCGGCAACGACTTCCCCACACAGGGTCGCTGAAGGAAACTTCCGCCCACAACCAAGATGGCACCCGGCCCCGCCCCCTAGTTTCTGCCCCCCCCCTCCCCCCCCGGCCCAGCGCTCCGGCCTGCGGCCGCTTGCGCATCACACACTATTCCTGATAGCCAAGCCCCTGGGAACCCCACGACTCGCCCTCGTGGGTGCACCTGTCCCTTTTCCCGCACCCAGGCGGCCATCCTGCTTGGAAGGAGCTCCCGAGATGGTGCGGTGGGTTGTTCCCGAGTCGGGCAGCGCGAGGCCTCCACGAGCTGGAGGAGGAAGGAGCCGGCTTCCCCATCCTGGTCACTCGGTCCAGGGAGAGCAATAACCATCGCAACGATCATTGCACCCGACGGCCAAGCTTCAGTGAACGGTTCTACAAGTGCTTTCACCCATAGTGATCACTGAGCTGTTTACAGAGTTTTCACCAGCTCCCCGGGGGGTGTCATTAGCCCCATTTTACAGGAGGGAATTCGGGCCCAGAAGGTCTGGAGGATTTATCAGCCGAAGCAGGCCTCCAGAATCTAAATGGGAACCCCAAAACAGCCTTTGCTGGCTCCAGCACACGCTCTAGGCGCGGGGAAGTCCGATCCCGGAATCCGGAGCCTGGGGTGCGACGCGGGAGGAAGACGGTGGAGACCAGCAGGTCGACCGACGGCAGGGGTGGGACCTGGCTTGGGGTGGCCCCGCCTCCAGGCCGACCCGGGATTTACTTCGAGAATTGATTGGGTCAGATCTGTGACAGTTCCCGTCGCCGAGGAAACTAGGATCGGGCGCCCTTAGAACTAGAGGGAGGAGGCAGGCCCGGGTCTGGGGCCTCGAGATCGGGCTTGGGGTGAGACCTATTCGTGGTCATAACGGGCAAGCGGGACGCACCAGGACCGGGACAGAGCTCTCAAGAGAGATTTAGTATCCCGGGGACAGCCTGTGTTCTCTACCAGGCTAGACCCAGCAGACAGATGAGGGCTTGGGAAGACTGGTGGCCTGAGGTGGGGCGGGGAGGTTTGCTCCGGTGGGAGAGGAAGACAGGGGCACCTCTGCCCTGCTGTTTGCTTAGCTGTGCCCTGAGTACTTATCTTGTCTCTACAGCCCAGAGTATGTTCCAGATCCCAGAGTTTGAGCCGAGTGAGCAGGAAGACTCCAGTACTGCAAATAGGGGCCTGGGCCCTAGCCTCACTGGGGACCAGCCAGGTCCCTGCCTGGCCCCAGATCTCCTGGGGAGCATCGGACACCAACGAGGACAGGCAGTCAACAGCAGTCATCATGGAGGTAGGTTCCCCACCACCATCATCATCTCTCCTTGCCCCTTTTGCATCCCTGTTGCAGCCATAGTTCCTGAAGACTCTGGGGGAAGCTCTGAGCCTCAAATTGCCTCCTCTACAAACCAACTATCTTTACCTTAGTAAGACCACTCGATTAATTCACAGAAATGTATGGCATGCCCTTAATGATCAAACTGATTCACTGAAAGCTCAAGACAGACTCCCTTATTATGGCCTCAGGATAGACATGAGCGGGAGATAAGCAGATTCCCCCAAGAGCAAGTGACTTTCCTAAGGTCACCCTAGGAGGTAGTGCTGGAAGACTCCTCAGATCCTGGGTTATAGCCTTCCAGTGGCCAGTAGAGCAGCCCTGGCTGTCCTGGAACTTGCTCAGCAGACCAGGCTGGCCTTGAATTTGGAGATCCACCAGCCTCTGTCTCCTGGGTGCTGGGATCACGTGCCTGGCATTTTTAAAATTATATGTGTGCCAGTGTGTGCAAGTGCAGGTGCCTTGGATCCCCTAGAGCTGTTGTAGGTGGTTGTGAGCTGCCTCCATGTGGTTGCTGGGAACTGAACTCACATCCTCCCCAAGAGCAGCAAATGCTCAGCCACTGAGCCATCTCTCCAGCCCACCTCACTTCTTTTAACCTTCAAGGTTTTTGTTGTTGTTGTTGTTGGGTTATTTTTTGTTTGTTTGTTTTTCAAGACAGGGTTTCTCTGTAGCTTTGGAGCCTGTCCTGGAACTAGCTCCAGGCTGGTCTTGAACTCACAGAGATCCGCCTGCCTCTGCCTGGGATTAAAGGCATGCGCCACCACCACCCAGCTCCTTGCTTGCTCTTTTTCTGCTCCGATCTCCTATTCTCTGCCCTCACCTGGTTGTCCCTTCTCACGCCTGAGGCGCACTAACTCCTGTCCATCCACGTGCTAGAGTGGTGGGACAGACCGCCAGCAGAGGATCTAGAAGAAAACTACACAGTGCTCAGGAGACGTGTGTGTGTAAATAGAGAGCAGAATCCCAGGGCTATGTAGTGACTGGGGAGTGACTTACCGAGGTAGTCGGGGGGCCTAGGAGAGAGCAGCCCTGTAGGGAAAGCCTGTGCAGACAAAGAGAAAAAGACTTAGCAGGCCCCAGTACAAGAATTGCTTCTGGGTAGCAGGGCCTCAAGTGGGAAGAGGTGAAGAAGGGTGTAGAGCCCTGTCCAATTCAGTCTGTACAGATCTTTGAAGACCATTGTAAGAAAACCTTTGACTGGAATCCTGGGAAGATTTTTTCCTTTTTACTGTGCTGTGGATGGAGCCCAGGGCCTTTGCATATGCTGAGCAAGTGCTCGTCTCCTGAGCCACATCCCAGGCCTAGGTCTGTCATGAAGACAGTGATAGCCTGGGAGTTGGGGGAAGGAAAGAGGTGTCACGGAGGACACCCAGCACCCTTGAAAGTTGGAAGAAAGAGAGATGGGGGAAGGTCAGCGATCAGGTAGGAACTTTTAGAAATGAAGGTGGGATTCCAGGAGGCTGCTGGTGGGAGCAACAGGGAGTTAATCTCAGCAGCTTTTGTAACAGCCAGCCAGGAATGGGTACTAGATGGTGTACACAAGGAGTAAATAGTGCTAGTGGGGTGAGCTGGCCCAGTCGGAAGAAGAGGAGCTGCCTTGGGTTTTACACCTCCACCCAAGGGATGATGCATCAACAGGTGGGAAGTGGCAGTTGGCTGACATCCTAGGACAGAGTCATTTGATAAGTGACAGGTCTAGGTTATGCCATTGGAATGAGGGACTGGGACACTGTCATGGGAGGAGGGGCAAGGAACAGGGAGGACCACTCAGGTTCAGTAAACTCAGAGTAGGGGAAGGGGCTGGCAGAGCAGTTTGTGTCCTGTCAAGCTTGAGGCATGGAGTTAGGCAGTGACAAGCTCTGCAACCTGATCTAGGGGGGCAGCGAAAGCATGGTCTGCAGTATGACAAGGAGTAGAGAGATGCACCCCAGCTCGGCTCCTTGAAGGAGAGCTGCCGGGCAAACAGCCATGGGGCAGGCAGCAGAATGTCCCCTTTGCTTCCCTGCCCTCCCATGCTAGGCAGGGACTAAACCAGGGAAACACTCCCTGAGCCAATGCATATGTGTGTGTGTGGGGTGTCTCATAAATGTTTTAGTTTTTAGTTGTCTCAAAATCAATTACAGAACTGGGTGCAGTAGTATATGCCTGCAAACTCAGCACCCAGCACGGATGAGTTTGAGGTCAACCTGGGCTCCTTAGTGAGACCCTATTCCAGCAAAACAGAGCAGCACAAATGATTGTCCTTAAAGAGATTTACAAGTGTCAGACCTGTCAGAGCCGTGGAGCTTCTGACCATCTATCTCTGCAGTCAGCTCACCCTGCCTCTCCTGCCAGCTCCCTGCACCATGGGCTGTGAGCATCCCTAGGACAGACTGCACAGTAGGAAGGGGAGAAGCAGCCAAGACCAGCCTCTGGGCAAGACTGCAACATCGGGGCCCTTTAGGAGCTGATTACAAGGTTAACTGCTGCTGCCTGAATTTCCCAAGCTGTAAAATGGGACTAGAACTGTTCCTACTTCACAGGGCTGCAGTAAGCGCATTTGAGTTCATGTTAACAGTGCTCAGAAACTGCCTAGCATGGAGGAGGTGCTGTGGAGGTCCTAGGCCTGCCATAATTGTGGTTATTATTGTTCGTGTGAATTAGCTCAGGCTCTGCAGACCTGGGTTTCCATCAGTAGTCAAGGCCCTTGAACATCCAGTGCTCTTGGATGGCAAACAGGTTAGACTCAGGATAGAAATGACTTGAAGGCATTCCTTCCATATAGCCATTCAAGGTTTAAGGTAGATGTAGACTTAGTTGGGTTTGGGGGCAGGGATTGGGAAACCACAGACATGGGCTAAATCCCTGTGGTTTTGCACTGCCCCTTAGCTAGGAATGTTTTTGTGGTTGTGTTTTGGGGTCAGGACCCAGGGCCTTCAGCTTACTAAGCAAACACCATCACTGAACCACATATCCCTAGCCTTTGTTATATTTGTTGAGACAAAAATCTCACTGTTACCCAGGATGGCCTCAAACTCCTGGGCTTAAGCAGCCCTCCTGCCTCAGACAGCCAACTAGCAAGCAGCTGGGACTGCAGGTTGCACCACCTGTAGGAACAGTTTATTTTGTCTTTTCAATGCAGGACTTTTGTGAGTAGCCCTTGCTGGCTTTGAACTCTGGTTTCTGCCTCCCAAGGGCTTGGATTAAAGGCCTGTGCTACCATGTCTAGCTGGGCACAGTTTTATCTATTGAAATGGTTGGTTGACAAATTCCACAGAGCAAATTATTATTATTTTTTTCTGAAATGAGGCTTCTTTGTACAGCTCTGGTTGTCCTGAAACTCACTTTGTAAACCAGGCTGTCCTTGAACTCACAGAGAGCTGCCTGTCTCTGCCTCCCACCCGGTTTTTTTCTTTAACAAATATTTTATTGTAACAGGTAAAGATTGTATCAAGTTCATATTTCGGTTTTATCGAGTAAAGCAATGGTTGGCACAGTGGTGTTGTGGGGGACATTTTGTCTAGACTCCAGCTCTGAGCAAGCTGGGCCAGGGCAGGGCCAGGTGAGGCCCCAGGCTGGAACTAAAATGTGTTTCCTCAAGGCTACAGCTCAAGTCTGGGCAGGCCGCTGCTGGCAGGCACCGTGGCCTGGGCTGCCAGAGGGCAGAGTCTCGCCGTGCTGGGAGGGTATAGGACTCCGTTGTTTTTGTTTTTATTACTCTTTTCCCCCAGCTGAGTTTTGTTTAAGGGCCTGCACGGAGGTCAGAAGATAATTTCTGGGAGTTGGTTTGGTTCTTTCCTCTTCTACTTCACAAGTCTCAGGAATTGAACTTAAGTAATCAAGCTTGGTGGCAAGCGCCTTTTCCTGTTTTGTCACCGCCAGGCACGCCCATCAGTTTTAATGGAGTACACTAGGATGCTTCCTGAACTATGAAGTTTCCCACTCAGCCACACCCACTTATCCAGAAACCCCGTGGGTAAGGAGCTTTAAAGGTGCTTAACAACCAGTCTCTTCCCATCCTTCCCCACCCCCAGTCTGTCTGGGGCGGGGGGAGGGGGGGTGGCATAAGTCAGGTGGCCTGAGCAGCCACCCACAGAAGAGCAACCCATCCCTTCCCCTGAGGGATGGAGGCGGGTCTGGGCCACACCCCATCCACCCTCTTTATCCGAGGAGTTCACAGAATCTCCAGGTTCTTTCCAGTAAATGCAAAGATATTTCTAGAAATTCCATTCAGGGGCCTGAGTTGAGAACTCTCAATCCAAGGGAAGCTTCCAGCCCTACCTGCTTGATTGGTTGGCTTTTTGTTTTGTCTTGTGAGGTGCTCTGGATGGAACCCAGGGCCTTGAGCATGCTAAGCAAGGATTTTAACACTGCTCATGAAGGCAGATTCTTTGGCGGAGGGAGCACATGAGCTACAGTGCCCAAGTGCCAGTGCAGGTCAGAGGGCAGCTTGTCACTAAAGGGGAAACCACCTAGGTGCTGAGTAGTCCCACTGAAATACTCTGTAGGTGGCCAGTGGTACTGTTCTGGTGCATTGAAGAGACCCAGGTCAGGCCTTGCTTGATCTCCTACCTCTGGCTGTTACACGCCTGCAGCTGGGATCCTTCGGCCTACAGCTGAGCAGCAGAGTTCTGCCCGATGACTTCTGAGAAGAGAAGGCAAACTTACCAACCCCCAAACCCAGGGGCTATTTTACCTCCTCCCAGGCTTTCCCTGCAGACTGGGTGTGGGCAGCAGGCTGCACCTAGCTGTGGACTCTGCCCCTGGGAGTGGTTCTGGGTCTTCACTGGTCTGGACAGAGGGGGTACAGGTGGCAGAAGTCAGGATGGCACACAGTGCCCAGATCAAAGAAGCAGATCTTCCACCATTTGCCTGCAGCTCACAGGGCACTTCCACACTCCAAAGTGACCTGCACACAGGTGCGTTAGTGCGCAGGGCAGGGTAGGTGAGACTGACTTGAAGTTGAAGGGAGGCTGGGCAAGGCAAGGTTGCACAGCCTGCTGGGCTCTGGATTCCAAACCCAGGGACTCTGGTCCAGGGGCTTAACAGCTTTGCCAACCTGAGAAAACAGACTTCTCTTAACTCCTGAGTAGCTTTTTTTCTCCCGACCCCCACCCATTTGTGAGGAAAAAAGACTACCTGTTCTCACGTAGCTGAGACTGGCCTTGAATTTAACCTGCTCCCACCTCACCAGTGTTGGGATTATAAATGTGAACCTCCACGTTTGGTCTGTAGAACCAGGTGGGGAGGATAGTTTAGCACATAAAAGCTAGTCTAGAAAAACAACACAACGCACCCACAGTTCTGGACATTGTCTCCACAAAAGAGGTACAATAGAGACCCTTGCAAAGCCAGAGCAGGGCTCCTCCCTACTTAGGGGTTGCTATGACACCATGTGATAATTATCCCTTATGTCCCTATTTTGTGAGAGACAGTAGAAAATCTTTGTGTACACCAAAGGCGACCTTCATTACCACTCGACAAGGACTTGTGGTGTTAAGTCGATTTTTCACAAAAGCACTCTGAGCTCCCCTCCACTCTCAAAGGAGAGTCTAGGGCTATTGGAAGGGGAGTGAACAGCAGGTCGAGATTCACACCTCTTCCAACCCGACTCCTGCAGGCGCTGGAGCAATGGAGATCCGGAGTCGCCACAGTTCGTACTCCGCGGGGACCGAGGAGGATGAAGGGATGGAGGAGGAGCTCAGCCCCTTTCGGGGCCGCTCGCGTTCGGCTCCCCCCAACCTCTGGGCCGCGCAGCGGTACGGCCGTGAGCTCCGAAGGATGAGCGATGAGTTTGAGGGTTCCTTCAAGGTGAGCGCCTGCGGAGGCTGCGACGGGACCTATACTGGCCTGCCCCTTCTGATACCTAGAGCATGTCGGGATTTGTAGTTTTAGGTCCACCGGGTTGGCCCTTTCGTATTCCGGGGTATGTCGGGATTTGCAGTTCTAATCCGTCCCCTGTCACTTGTGTCCGGCTGGCCCGATTTGTAGTCCAAGGATTTCCTCCCTCTTTCTTTGTCCAAAGCCTCGCCCCCAGCCCCGGTACTTGTCGGCACTTGTAGTTTTTACAGCCAGACCACTAAGAAAACCAGTATTGTGTGGGATCTGTAGGACAGACTTACTTCAGGCCTAAGATCCTGAATCTCCGAGGTTCGTAGAGCACGAGGCTTGGTAGTATCTGAGCCTCTCCTCAACTTCTGAACTACTTCAACTTCTTGAATTCAGCCCCATCCTCTTAACTCTAGGTCTCTGGCTTTGAGGTTTCATTTAGGGTCCCAGCAGTTTCTGGGCTCCAACCAATCACGACTCCTAAGAGCCTACTCATCTTGTAGTGTCTCTGACTGCCCAGTTCAGAGCAAGCTGGTGGCGGTGGTCTTTATATTCCAACTCAGAATGTGGGGACTTGTTCGGGACGCCAGGGTAAGGCTCGCTCATACAACTCTTTTCCTTCCCTGAAGGGACTTCCTCGCCCAAAGAGCGCTGGGACTGCCACACAGATGCGACAAAGCGCTAGCTGGACGCGTATTATCCAGTCCTGGTGGGATCGAAACTTGGGCAAAGGAGGCTCCACCCCCTCCCAGTGATCTGCTCCACATTCCCGGAACTGTACCAGCTCTCGTCACCCGCCATGTTGGGTGTGGGCGGAAGTCCGAGCCTTGGGGATAAAAAGAGGATCGCTGTGTCCCTTCAACAGGGTGAAGAGCTGGCGAACAGCTCGAGTCGCTTCCGGTGCGTGCAATAGCCACGAAGGGGTGGTTCTCGTTGGAAATTCTGAAGTTTCCGCACCCCCCCACCCCAGCTTCCGGAAGTGGCAACTTTTCCCCTCTCCGGTAACAGGCCGCCCTCAGGCGCCTGCGCTAAATTGCGAGCCGGGGTAAACCGTGACTCGGCTGCAGCCCTATCAAGCAAATGGTCGCAACAAACGTGCTTTATAATAAAGCCCGCGCCTGTGCTGTCGCGTCTGTCTTTCGTTGGGGTTCCAGAAACCGGATTATTATTTCTGATAGTTTTAAGAAACTCATTTTACTCGTAAGGGAAACAGGCTCTGTCCAAGGATTGAGACCGAGAAGTCGAGGCGACCAGAAAGCCCGGCTGCTAAGCTTTGGGGTGAAGGAGCGGATCGTGGCTAGACCCCTGGGACAGCCAGGCCCTTATCTCTAATATGGTAATTGGGAGCTGCAGGCCAGACGGCCGCCGGAATTCAGCATTCTGCAAACCAAGCCGCGGTTCCCCCGGGGCGGGGGGGGGGGGTCATTTGCTCCTATTTGGGTCAGTCCTTGTGAGCAGCTACTGTGTGACCGGCTTGGGGCCAGCGCTGCTGAGGGACCTGGCAGGGCACACGGGGCGGGGCGACACGATCACTAGGGAACGGAGAAGCTTCTCACGGGGACCTGGAGCAGGGCCCAGAGCTCAGTTCAGAGATTTATTGGCGCCCCTATAGCCCAGGCCAGTGCTTTGCGCTGGTTATGCAGATAAGTTGCGCCACAACCCTGCTTCCCGGAACATGGGATGGGGCGGCGACCACAGCAGGGCCTCAAGGAGTAGGTCAAAAGGTGAGGCTGTGTCTGGGACTGCCACTGTCAGCAGAGGGACACATCAGGATGTTGGGAGTTGGCTTGTTTTTGAGGACCCCAACTCGTGTTTGGGAAAATGAAGGTCAGTCTGCCAGCAATACAAGACATGAAATACGGAGAAGTGACAGACCTGGGAACAAGATATGGTCTGACAGTTGAAGAAGGTGGCTTGGGCAATGGTAGGAATCCCATCTCTGAGAGCAAAGGCCTTAGCCCTGGGAAGCCCAACCCTGGCCACCCAGTTTCTCAGGCCTTCCTACCCGGATCTTGTTTGCCTGGGGCTGCAACAAAAACAAGGCAAAGAAAACACTTCATTGGCAGGAGATATGCCCTGATAAGAGGCTGCCTTCCTCTGGAGGGAGCAGTCAGTCCCCAACGCCAGGAAGCTGGGAGAGGCCTTGAAGAAGTGCCAGCCTGCCTCTACTGCGGGGCCTAGCCCATTCTCTTGCCACAGGGTCTCTGGTATTCCTGGCTGGTCCCAGGCTCAGAGCAGGTTCTCCAGGCTGGTGAAGACCATCTAGCACAGAGCTAGCATGTAGGTCATCCTGCCTCCTGGCAGGTCTCCACTTAGCTACAGCCCAGTACACGCAGCTTCCATTCAGGACCTGTTTCCATATCTGTAAAACAGGCAAAAACATCTCCCTCACGGGAGTGAGGGAGCCATGGGATATCCACAGAGTATCATAGCCCCTGCCAGCAACAACCCTTAAGACTGCCAGCTTCCTTCATCCTAAGAGCCATGGACCCCTTCCCAATCTGACAACTCAGCTCCAACCAGCCACCTCATCCCTGTGTGGTGCCTCAGTAGCCCTGGCAGGAGATGCTGGGTGCTTGGGGCATATCAGGCAACAGGAAGGGAGGCAGGAAAGGCTTCCTGACGCAAGGTCTGAGCCCGAGCAAAGAGATGGAAAAGCTGAGGGAGAAGAGAGTGATAGGGCTAGGGAACCAAGGTGCTCAGGGCAGAGGCAGAAAGCTCAAAGCCACCTCTGGCAGGGAATGAGGTCACCACAGATCTTGGGCAAGGCCACCAAGTTAAAACCTTGAATCTTTTGCTAGGAGTCTGACCACAATGGCACAACCCCATTTTATAAACGAGGAAACTGAGGCCCCAGAGGAAATGGCGGTAATCGAGCTAGAGCCTAGAACGCTTTCATCCAAACCACACTGTGCACAAAGTCCCTCAAGTCCACTTTTATTCACGTAAAAAAAAAAATCCCAAATATAAAGGGTTGGCCTCTACTTCCCAGAGCTCCACCTACTGCTCCCTGGAAGTGGGGGAACACCCATCTTTGTGTGATGGCATACTAGTCCCAGCCTTTTCCTAGGCCTGAGGTTAGAGAGGGAGGCTAAGGACTAAAGAGGCCCCAAGAAAATGGAGTTAGTGTGAGGCATTTGCTTCAGATTTTAAAAAAATAAAATTTCTAAAGATAAAAGGTTAAAAAAAAAAGCATTAGTGTCTTCTACCCACTGCCCAGTGCCCACCCCAGTCCTGTGGCCACCTCTTGTTCAGCCAGTTTAGAGCTGGGTGTTCTCCTCCTGGCTCTCCGAGTCAGCGCCGGACAGGTGCCCGCCACTCGCAGGTGCATGACCATTGCTGGCACAAGCCACCTGGGGGCCGTCCCCCAGCCCCTCTGATTTCTCGCCTAGCAGGCATCGACGGGTGTCCTGGGGCAACCTCTCACGCTGCTCCCGACACTCCTGGGTCAGCTGGGCCAGCAGCTGCAAGAGGATGAGTGTCCAGAGGGGCCAGGCTGCCCAGCTCCTGTGCTACCTGCCTTTCTGCCTCCTCCCTGGCCTCACCTTGGGCTCCTCTTCCACTAGCTGCTGGAGGACTTGCTGCTGCCCTGCCAGGAGGCGCTCATGGCGCTGCTTCTGGGCCTCTTCCAGCTGCAAGGGAGGGCAAGAGTTCAGCTGCAGGAGGGCCAAGACCTGGGAGCACTGAAATCAGGGAGCAGGGCATAGAGGCTCCCAGGACACTTAAGGTGTTAGATACGATGCAGGCACCAGAAGTTGTTGGTACAGACCCTGGAGGAAAGGCGGTAGGAGCCTTCTGGAGAGCAATATGGCACCAAGCCAGGCATGGAAGAGCGGAGTTTTTGATGAGTGAAGGAGAAAGGTGGGGCTCACTCACCCGTCTGATAGAGTTGACTGACTCAGTGATATGCCGCCGATTAATCTCTGTCAGTTCCCTGCAGAGGGGAAAGGGATGGCTTTGTGCCCAGGCATCTCCCTTCTTCCCCTCACTCAATGGCTCCCAGCCCCAAAGCACTTACACCTCCTTCTTATGTTTCTCCCTTGTCTTGGCCTCTGAGATACTGTTGTTGCGTTTTCTGTCCAGGATCTTCTGAAGCTCCTTCTTCTCCCTGGAGCAGCAAGAAGGGACAGGAGGGGGTCAGAGGCAGGACTCCTGGCACCAGAGTCCCACCGCACGCACACAGGACCGTCTGTCTTTACCTTTCATTCAGCTCCTTCAGTCTCTTGAACTGGGTTGTGTGCGCATCCAGGACAACCTCCCTGAGCCGCTGCTGAGCCTGGGGACACAGGCAGCCAGCCAGCAGGTAACACAGGGCTGACAGGTTTACCCAGGAAGCTGATTCTCCTTGCCTACACCACAGGCCCCTCTTACCTGTCTGAGGTGCTCCAGCCTTCGTTCGGTTTCTGCATCTGCCTGGGCCTCCCTCAGCTCTAGCAGGATCTGTACCTGTCGGTTCTGGAACTCTCGATACTCCTTAATGTCTTCAGGATTGCTGACTCTGTAGGGAGAACATTCTCAATAATGCCATGTCCCTGGCATAGGAGGACAGTTAGAGCGGGATTCGTGCCAGCAGGCAGTGGCAGGCACCAGCCAGGTGAGGTCTGCTATGCAAATCAAGAGGACCAGCAGGGGCCAGCAGCTATACCGTTAGCTTTACACAGGTGCCGGTTCCTGCTTCTTGGCAGGGGACTTCAGATGAGATGTTCCTCTCAGGGAAGAGTGAGGACCAGTATGGGAATCTCTCTCCACCTTCCCATCATCCAAGCATGCCCACCCAGCATGGAGAGCCACATGCACACCTCCCTCCACAAGGTGGTACCAAGCTTCAGGGCACTCACGGGGCACCGGGGGAGGGCCGGCATCTGCCCTCAGTCCTGGCCTGCGCCAAACCATCCAGAAGGCGGCGGGTGAGGGCCACAGTCTTGCGCTGGTGCTTTTTCTGCAGCTCCCTCAGGTCTCGATCCTGTCGGCTCTGGAGCTTTACCATAGCCTTGTGGTTTCGGAGCTCCTCTAGAGGGGTAGGGGTCACCTCTAAAAGGGAGAGGTGTAGGTAGCAAGCAAAAAGAAGGCAGGGTAGCAGGTGAGGTGGTCTGGGCATGACCGAGATGGGTGTGGTAGATGCCCTCCAGGTGGCCCCACCCCCGATCAGGCTGTGTCCCTTACCAGAGAGGATGCTGGCAATCAAATCATCTCGCTGCCCTGGAGAGCAGAGGCTATGGTGAGAAGCTGAGAGCCAGCAGCTCATGGCTCCCCTTGGCCCACTCCGAGGACAAGCTTCCCCTTACCTGGGCTACTGAGGGAGGTGCTAGTGGGGGAGGTAGTAGGACCTGGGGGCCAGCGAGGTGAGGCATCCAGTGGGTTAGGTGTGGGGTTGGGCAAGAACTGTGACCCTGGCTGTTGAGACTGCGTCTCCTGATATGTCTCTGTACTGGCCTGAGCCTGCAAGAGAGAAAACTCTTTCCAAAAATGTTTTCTCCATCTCTGGGTCCTTCCACCTCTGGATGCCCTATACCCCTACCAGCTCCCTCTGCCTGCACAATAAAAAGATAAACAATAGGCAGACCCTTGTCCACGCCAGCCAGGAAAGCTGTGTGTTACCAGATCACTGCATGTCCTCAACAAGTCCCAGATGATTCTGGAAAAGCCTGGCCTGGCCCCAAGAGTCCTCCGCTGTGTCCCTCCCACCCCTGCCTGGTGGTCCGTCCTCCCCTGGATGCTCAGCTCCCAATTTAATCAGCAGAGGAAGCAACAGCAGAGCGGGCACCAGTCTCTTCAACTAATAGCTCCTCACAGCCTTAATTGCAGTCATCTCTTTCCTGGCCGCCACAGGCCCCATGGGGATCGGGTCAGGACATGTGGCTGAACCTCTGCTCCTGGCGCTGAAGCCACTACCTCCTCATGGCTTCCCTGACTTCCAATGCCCCTGTGTACGTATACTCAAATTTTTGATTCCATGTAGAGCTTGAGAAACTCGAGCCTAGACACAACCCAAATCAGTGCAAATGGGTACATCCTCTTCCAAGAGCCCACAGCTGAGCTGAAGGTATAGCTCAGTGGGAGAGCTTTTGCCTGGCCTGCTTAAAACCCTGGGCTCCATCCCTATCCAGCACTGGAGGGAAGGAGG